TCCAAGTACGTGCAGGTTAGGGTGGATTGGCTGTGCTAAATTACCCCATAGTGTCCATGGATGTGCAGGTTAGGGTCGATTGGCCATGCTAAATTGTCCCATAGTGCCCAGGGATGTGCGGTTAGGGTGGATTGGCCATGCTATATTGTCTCATAGTGTCCAGGGATGTGCAGGTTAGGGTGGACTGGCCATGGGAAACTTTGGATTAAAGGGTAGGGTGCTGGTTGGGATGTTTCTCGGAGAGTTGCTGCCGACTTGATGGTTCGAATGGCCTCTTTCCACACTGTAGGGATCGTATGAAACCGGTTGGATTTCATAATTAAACCCTGACGTGTTTTGTGTATTCTGAATCAGCAAAGGTGGTGTCTGTGTGTGTGTGTGAGAGAGAGGCGGCAACTTGGAAAACCATACAAAGCCTTTTTTGGACAAATACATTATTGACAAAACCCTAGTGTGTTGTGCTTTAAAGGTCTGGCAAATCCGAGAATTTAATCAATACCTCAGGTTGAAGAAAAAAGTGAACTCTGAACTTATCCAGTTACAGGAAGTGCCTTGGGGATAAAACGTCAAAACAAATCTATTAACGACCATTCAGCTCCAACTGTACATGAAGAGCTGGGCATCTCTGAACATTGGAGAATGAAAAGCGTGAAGCTGTTATTGGAGATGGATCCTTTCCGCTGGCTCCAGTTTTTCAATCTGCAAACTCTACTGATTTTCTTGGCTGTGTTTTTAACGGTGTCCTTTCTAATCAAAGCCAGGAAGCAGAGTGCTCTCCTACCGGGTCCATCCATGTGGTCACTCTTCGGAAACATCTTCACCAGGAATCAGGCTCCTCATGTTTCTCTGACTGAGGTATTGGCGGATCTCAACCTGAAACCTTCTCCCCCTGTTTCGAAGACTGAGCGGTAGCAATTCATCAGGGACTGGGGTAGGGGGTGAGCAGTGAGCTGTTGGAGAAGACTCGCCCTTCTCCATCTCCGGATGGTCAGAGATTGAAAGCTGCTTTTGTTGGGGTTCCTGCTGACTGTTGAAATTGACATGGAAACACCTAGACTTGCGATTTCAACTGGGATCGCTGCCCCCAACCCCCACCTCCGAGTTGTCTTGGGAGACTCTGAGGGTCCCAACTCATTTACCTTAACAATTAGCCAGGCAAAGTCAGCGGGATTAAAAACCTCCTCGAACTATTGGCTAACCGTCTATTGCAAGTAGGTTGTGGTCAGACTAGATTTAGAAGCTAACAGCAAGTGAGAGTTTCAGTGCAATCAGCTACCTATTACAAGCAATGCAATTGCAATGACTGCAAGGAAACTTAATAACAGGCTTGCGAATATCTAATTACATATGGATCATTCAGTGCTGTAATATTAGCCAAACGTCTGCCCTTGAGCTACCCGCAGGGATAGCACAATAGCTCAGTGGTTAGCACTGCTGCCTCACAGTGCCAGGGATCTGGGTTTGATCCCACCCTCGGGCGACTGTCTGTGTGGCATTTGCACATTGTCCCCGTGTCTGCATGGGTTTCCTCCGGGTGCTGCCTCCTCCCATAGTCCAAAGATGTGCAGGTTAGGGTGGATTGGCCATGTTAAATTGCCCATAGTGTCCAGGAATGTGCAGGTTAGGGTGGATTGGCCATGCTAAATTGCCCCATAGTGCCCAGGGATGTGCAGGTTAGGGTGGATTGGCCGTGCTAAATTGTCCCCATAGTGCCCAGGAATGTGCAGGTTAGGGTGGATTGGCCGTGCTAAATTGTCCCCATAGTGCCCAGGAATGTGCAGGTTAGGGTGGATTGGCCTCATAGTGTCCAGTCTAGGTGGGTTAGCCATAGGAAATATGGGGTTACAGTAATAGGGTGGGATGCTGTTTGGAGGGTCAGTGCAGACCCAATGGACCAAATAACCTCTTTCTGCACTGTAGGGAATCTATAATTTCTCATAAATTAGTTTGGCTTTAAATTGTTTTTGGGAAGATTTGTAGCTCAGGTTGTGGATGAGGTTGTAGGCTTGCTCGCCGAGCCGGGGGGGTTTGGTTGCAGACGTTTCGTCACCCTGCTAGGTAACATCATCAGTGCGCTTCTGCTGAAACATCGGTGTTCTGTCCCACTTGTTATTTATATACCTCTGTTTGTTGGGGTGGATGGTATTACTTCTGGTTCTGTTTCTCGGTGGTTTGTATATCAGTTCCAGTTCACTGTGTTTGTTGACAGAGTTCCGGTTGGAATGCCAGGCCTCCAGGAAATCCTTGGCATGTGTCTGTTTGGCTGGTGCAATTATGGATGTGTTGTCGCAGTTGAATTGGTGTCCTTCGTGTGTATTGAGACCAGTGAGAATTGGTCGTGTCTCTTGGTGGCTCGTTGGTGTTCACGTATCCTTATTGTCAGTTTTCTTCCAGTCTGGCCAGTGTAATGTTTCTCACACTAGTTTGGCTTCTACAGCAAACACGGAGTAGATACTAAACTGGACCAGCTTTGTTAAAAAAAAAGCAGAAATTGCTGGCAAAACTCAGGAGATCTGGCAGCATTCACAGACTCAAAACATTGGCTCTGCTTTCTTCCCAAGGATGCTGCCAGCCCTGTGGAGTTTCTCCAGCAATTTCTGTCTTTGTTTCAGATCTCTTTGTTTTAGTCCAGCTCTGTAAATACCGGGAGCAGCCTGGGAATCATGAGGCCTGTAATTAACCCCCTTGGTGTGCCAAAGACTGTTTGCCATTGACAATACACGAGACGTGAGTGTGATGGAATATTCCCCACTTGCCTGGATGTGTGCAGCCCCAACAAAACTCAGGAAGTTCAATAGCGTTTGGGACAAAGCTGCCCTCTTGATTGGCAGGAAGAATAGAGGAGCTGAATATTATTTAAAAGGAGAAAGATTGCAGAATGCTGCAACATGGAGGGATTTGAGGATCCTCCTCCATGAATAAAAGAAAAAGCATCCTAGTTGGGTAATAGGAAAAGCAAATTATATTAAGTAAATGGTGTATAGAAATGGGGCATTGTTTCCCCATGTGGACAAGTTTAAGAATCTCACTTCCACTTCTCTGTGACCTGTGATTCCTTTTTTGATTTAAAAAAAAATCTATCTCAGCCTTGAATATATTTAATGACCCAGCCTCAACAACCCGCTGTGGTAAAGAATTCCACAGATTTACTAATCTCTGGGAGAAATAAAATCCTTCGCAATTCTGGAATTCAGGTACACATTCTTTGAAATTTCCATCGCATGTAGACAAAGTGGTTAAGAAGGCTTTTAGTACGCTTGCCTTTATTGGTCAGAGTATTGAGCATAGAAGCTGGGATGGCATGTTGAGGTTGTATAAGACATTAGTGAGGCCTCTTCTGGAGTACTGTGTCCAATTCTGATCACCCTGCTATACAAGGATATTATTAAACTGGAGAGGGTGCAGAAGAGATTTACCAGGATGTTGCCAGGAATGGAGGATTTGAGATATAAGGAGAGGCTGGATAGACTGGGACTTTTTTCATTGAAGCGTAGGAGGCTGAGAGATGACCTTATTGATGTTTATAAAATCATGACAATTTTAGATAATGTGAATGGCAGTGTCTTTTCCTTAGGGTGAAGAATTTCAAGACTAGGGGACATATTTTTTAAGGTGAGAGCAGAAAGAAAAGATTTAAGAAAGATACGAGGGGCATTTGTTACACAGAGTGGTTCGTATGTGGAATGAGGAAGTGGTATATGCAGGTACAGTTACAACATTTAAAAGACATGAGTACATGAATAGGAAATGTATGGAGGGATTTGGGCCAAGCGCAGGCAGGTAGGACCAGTTTAATTTGGGATTATGGTCGGCATGGACTGGTTGGACCGAAGGGTCTGTTTCCGTGCTGTATGACTCAATGACTGTCTAAAATGAGCAACAATTTACTCTGAGATTATGCTGTCTAATCCTAGACCTTCTAACAGGGGGAAACAACCTCCCTGCATTGACGCTGTACATGCCCTAAATCTTGTGTATTTCGATATGGTCGCTTCTCATTCTTCTAAATTCCAAAGAGTACAGACCCAGTCTAGAATCACAGATTCCCTACAGTGTGGAAGGAGGCCATTCAGCCCATCATGTCCACACTGACCCTCCAAAGAGCATCCCACCCAGATCTATCTCCTTCCCAATGCCTGTATTTCCCTATGGCAATTTAGCATGGCCAATCCACATTACCTGCACATCTCTCGACTGTGGGATGAAACTGGAGCACCCGGAGGAAACCCATGCAGACACGGGGAGAACGTGCAAACTCCACACAGATAGTGGACCGAGTTTGGAATCAAACCCGGGTCCCTGGTGCTGTGAGTAGTTGAAAGGCTATGGGCCAAGTACTGGAATATGGGATTATAATAGATAGATTGGCATAGACTCTATGGGCTCAAGGGCCTCTGCTCTGATGTGTGTCTCTATGATGGTTCTCATAAGAAAATCCCTCCACAAATGGAATCAATCTAGTGAACCTTCTCTGACCTGCCTCCAAAGCCAGTATACCGTTCCTTAGATAAGGGGAACAAAACTGTTCACAGTGTTCTAGATGTGGTTTGACTTGTGACTTGTATAGTTTTAGCAAGATTTCTGAATATTTACATTTGCATTCTCTTTGAAATAGAGGCCAACCATCCACTTGCCTTCCTTATTACCTGTTGAAGTGGATGTTCACACCTTCAGAAATGTGCAATATGTTTAGCTATGAAGGAAGGTCGGCTAGACTGGATTTCTTTTCACTGGAACACAGGAGGTTAAGGGGGTGACCTGATAGAAGTTTATAAGATTGTGAATGGCATGGATAGAGTGGGAAGTATGAGGCTTTTTCCCAGGATGGAGAGGTCAATTATTAGGGGAGACAGGTTCAATATGCAGCGGTGGGGGGAATATTTAAAAGAGATGTGTGAGGCAAACTTTTCACACAAAGGGTGGTGAGCGCCTGGAACGTGCTGCCAGAGGAGGTGGTGGAAGCAGACACAATAGCAGCATTAAAGAAACACCTGGATGAATACATGAATAGGAAGGGAATAGAGGGATACAGATCCTGTAAGTGAAGACAGTTTTAGTCAGAAGGGCAAAATGTGTCAGCACAGACTTGGAGGGCTGAAGGGCCTGTTCCTGGGCTGTATTGTTCTTTGTTCTATGTTCTCACAACTATCACAGGGGAGAAAGTGTTTGTAAACTCCAGCCCACGTTATGTGCGACTGTATTGCATAATTCTATGCAACTTTAGATATGTGGAAAGTAAATTGCTTTAAGTCATTATGCAACATTTGTTTTCAGGCTGCTTATCTGGCAAGTTAGAGAGAGTCTGACAGAAGTGTACATCATCTTTATGTTTCTTATTCCCTGCCTTCTCCACGCACAGCTTTCTAAGAAGTATGGAGACGTTTTTACATGCAGCGCCTTATTGATTCCCATCGTTGTCCTCAATGGGTACCGAACCTTTCAAGAGGCCCTCGTCCAACATGGTCGAGAATTTGCTGGGCGGCCAATTATCCCTATCATGGAAGAAGTGACGAAAGGTCAAGGTACTCATTTTATAAAATCAATTTATTTCATTTTCCTGCAATGCCCCAGAAACTGATAACAACATTTTAACATTTTTACGGTACGGCATAAAATCACAAAGAGATATTGATAGATGTGAAAAGTGTGACAAATGGATTTCATTGTTGGTAAATATGAAGTCACTCACTTTGAATCTAAAAAGAATGGAACTGGGTACTTACTAAATAGTGAAAAGTTGGACACAGCAGAGGCTCTAAAGAGACAGATCATGATTTTGAATTCTGCAACCAAATCTCTTCTCAAGCTTCTCTTCTTCAAAAGGAACAGTCTCAACTTCTCCAACCTATTGTCATAACCTGATCTGTTAAACCATTCTCGTAAACTTATTCTGCACTCTCTCCACATTGTTCTAAAAGTATGGTACTCAGAGCTGGATACAACACTCCAGTGAACCTGAACTAGTGCCTTATTCCAGTTCAACAAGCCTCCTTGCTCTTGTATTCAATGCTGCTAATCATGAAGCCAGGGTTACTGTCTGCTTCCTTTCAACCACAGAATCCCTACAAATGTGGAAGCAGGCCATTTGGCTCATCAAGTCCACACCAACCCTCCAAAGACCATGTACCCAGACCCACTGCCCTACCCTATCCCTGTAACCCACAATATCCCATGGCTAATCCACCTAACCTGCACACCTTTGGACCAATGGAGGAAACCGAAGCAAGCTCACGTAGGCATGGGGAGGACGTACAAGCTGTACACAGTCTCCCAAGACTGGGATTGAACCCAGGTCTTTTGGTGTTCTGAAGCAGCAGTGCTAACCACTGAGCCACCTTGCCACCCCCAACTCTTAGCTGTTCTCTCAATCTGTCCTGCCAAGTTCAATGACTTATGTACATTTCAATCAATTCTGTCAGCTCCTGCACCTCCTGGAGAGTTGTACCCTTCATTTTACACATGTTCTTCCTACCAACCTGACAGACCTCCCAATTGTCCATGTCGAATTCCATTTACTACTTGTCCACCCACTCTACCAACTTATCTATGTCCTTTTGATGTCCTACAGTGTAGAACCACTTGGTTCACAATGCCTCCAAGTTTCGTATCATCTGCAAATTTTGAAGTTGTGCTTTTATCCCCAAGGGTCTGATCATTGATAGATATCAGGAAGAGTAAGGACTGTAATACTGATGCCTGAACTGCATTACAAACCTATTTAAGGCCAAGAACAGCTATTAAGATTACTCTATCACTCAGCCAATTTTACATCTACGTAGCCTCTGTCCCTCTTATCCCGTGAGCTCACAGTTTGTCTGCATGTTTGTTGTGCAACACTGTGTCAAATGCATTCTGCAAGTCCACGTATACCACATTAACAGCATTGCCCTGATCAACTCTTTCTCGTACTTCATCAAAAACTCCTTAAGCTAGACATGATTTTAGTTAAACACAGTTTTCCCTTAAGAGACCCATAGTTAACCCACATTAGTCTGTGTGACCATTAATTGTTTTCCTAATCATTGTTTTGAGATGTTCCTTAATCGCTACAGTTAATCTGACCGGTGTGTAGTTATTTTTAGGTCATCCTTACATCCTTTTTTAACTTTTTAAATAAAGTTTGCAGTTCTCCAGTCCTCTGGCATGACTCATGCATCTAAGGAGGACTGAAAAATTACAACAAAGAAAAGCCAAAAGAACTGCAGATGCTGTAAATCAGAGAATTAACGTTTCTGGTCAAATGACCCTTCCTCTTAGCAAGGTTCACTCTACCTGAAACGTTAACTCTGATTTCTCTCCACAGACGCTGCCAGACCTGCTGAGCTTTTCCAGCAATTTCTATTTTTGTCTTTGAAAAATTGTAGCAGTGCCTGTGCATTTTCTATTCATTTTCTCTATATGCTTGGGTGTATCTCACGCATTCCCAGTGCCCTGTTAACTTTAAGTACAGACAGCCTCTCCAGTATCTTCTCCTTATCAATTTAGTACCTTTTCTAGCGTCTGACTTTCTTCCTTTGTCACCATGGCAGCTAACACCTTCCTCCATGATATAGGCAGATGTATTTTATTTAATATTTGAGCCATACCTTTTCCTTTCTTATTTTGTCCTGAATCAGTCCCACTCCATCTTTTACAACCCTTTCATTATTTATATGCCAATAGAAGACATTATTATGTTAACTGCCAGTCTCTTTTCATTCACCCTCTTTATTTCTGTGTGGGAGGAAACCGGAGCACCCGGAAGAAACCCACGCAGACACGGGGAGAATGTGCAAACTCCACACAGACAGTCACCTGAGGCTGGAATCGAACCTGGGTCCCTGGTGCTGTGAGGCAGCAGGACTAACCACTGAGCCATCATTCCACCCTGCTTTATTGCCACAGCATCAATTTTCCACTTGGCAAGGTGCACCCAAGTTTGCAATTTAACAATCATATGTGACATTCTTTATGCGCTCACAAGTGTGAACTTTAACCCTGATAGCCTGATGGTATTATCACTGGACTGTTAATCCAGAGAACCAGATAATGCTGTGGGGACCTGGGTTTGAATCCTGCCACAGCAGACATGGAATTTGTATTCAATAAATATCTGGAGTTAAGGGTCAAACCTTATCCATGAATCCATTGTTGATTGTCGGAAAAACCCATCTGGTTCACTAATGTCCTTTAGGATTCGGGACAAAATAAGAAAGGAAAAGGTATGGCTCAAATATTAAATAAAATACATCTGCCTATATCATGGAGGAAGGTGTTAGCTGCCATGGTGACAAAGGAAGAAATTCGTCCTTACTTGGTCTGTCCTACATGTGACTCCAGACCCACAGCAATGT